TTAATAAGCTTGATTATAATACGGTGTTTATTCAATACTCAAGATTTTATCTTTTTTGCCTATTATTTTGAACCTAATAGAAATATCGACTTGGATTTGCATAAAATTAATGTAGCATTAGCTTCAAAAAATTGTAATAGATTGATTTGGTCTATGGATGCCAACAGCAAATCTGAAATTTGGCATAGCCCAGTTTCAGATTCTCGAGGGTTAAACTTTGTGAATTTTTAAGTATGAATATTTTGTTCGTTCTAAACGAAGACTGTGGTCCTACTTTCTGTAGCACTCAAGGTTCAAGCTATATTGACATTACGATTGTGGGATCTGATCTTCTTGCAGATATTTTGTGTTGGTGTCAATCAGATTATGAATCCCTTTCTGATCACTGTACGATTGAGTTTGAACAATTCTGTAGCTTCTAATAACACTCTCTATGACAGAAAAAACAGCAAAATTGTCTTCAGTGTAAATAAAGCTAACTGGAATATTTTTTACAATACATGTAAGCAGTCGACTAATGAGTTGTCGCACTTTATTGAGTGCTGTACGGATAAGCATGCATTAAACTCTCGACTAGAAAATTTTGTCTCGATTCTCTATAACGCATCCAAGGCTTTCATGCCTCTAAAAATGTCAAGGGTTCATAAGGTACCTTGGTGGACTACTGAAATCGAATGTATGAGAAAACAGGTTAACGCTGCTAGACGTAGGTTTCAACGAAATCGTAACCCTACTCTTAGAGAGTTATATAAACAAAAATATCTTCACTTAAGGCATAGTTATAGTTTAAAGCTCCAGGATGCAAAGCTTAAGTCTTGGAGAGAATTCCTAATGAGTATAAATGAAAGGAATGTTTGGAAAAAAATATATACGAATGGTATAAAGAAAAATTTTATGAAAGGAATTGAAATCAGTGGAATTTATCTCCCATCTGGTAATTTACAAAGTCGCTTGAAGAAACTGTTGATGAGGTTCTTAACAGAAGCTTTCCCACGGACCATTTTAGCACGGATAATTCGTTTCATAGAATGATTAGGGCTGAAGCTTCGTTAAATTATGTTGCTAATCCAGATCCTCCATTTACTATATCAGAAATTAATAGTGTTATAGAAAAACTTAAATGCAATAAAGCTCCTGGTCTTGATGCTATTTCAAACGAAATTTTGAAGCAAGTTCATAGAATGTTTCCAAATTTATTCTCCAAAATCTTCAATACTTGTCTGAGGCTTGGTTCATTTTCTCGTTGCTGGAAAACAGCGAATGTCGTTTTAATCCCTATGAATAGTGGTCCTCGTATCCCGCATTTAGATAACTTGAGATGCATTAGACTTCTTCCCAGTTTAGGAAAATGCCTAGAAAAGCTGTTTGTTAATAGAATTACCTGGTTCTTGCATAATAAAATACTGCTAAATAAAGCACAGTTTGGTTTTACCCCTCATAAGAGTTGTGAAGATGCTCTTTTGTACTTAAAAGACATAGTGGACGAAGGTAAGAAGAGAAATTTACACGCAGTTTTTGTGTTTCTTGATATCAAAGGTGCTTTCGATCACGCCTGATGGCCTGGGATACTTGTTTTTTTAAGGAAAGCTGGTATATATGTAATATTTACCAACTTATTAAAGATTTTCTGCATGACAGATCTGCATTGCTCTCCCTTGGCCACGTTTCTTCCTCCCGCATTTTGGAAAGAGGTTGCCCTCAAGGCTCGGTTTCCGGACCTTTATTGTGGAATTTAATTATGAATGATCCACTCAATAGACTCTAACATTGTCCGAGTTGTAAAACAATTGCTTTTGCTGATGATCTACTAATTTGCTTTCAAGAGAAGTGTCCCATTACTCTCTTTAATACGGCTCAAAACACCCTTAATATTATTTCCAATTGGTCCAGAGAACAGAAATTGGAATTCAATCCTAATAAATCTAAAATTATGATAATTAAAAGAAAGCATGTCAGCTATACAAACCAACAACTGTACTTGGATAACACTTTACTCGAAACGGTGAATGAAATTAAATATTTAGGCGTTATTCTTGATCATAAGTTTCGTTGGAAAAATCATATTATGTATTTGTCCAATAAGTGTGAAAATATAATTAGAGGACTTAATCGTGTCTCTTGCAATACTTTTGGTTTAAAATCTAATGTTATTGATATGATTTATAAGCAGGGTATTGTCCCCTTTATTTGCTATTCTTCTAGAGTGTGGGGAACAGCTTTAGAAGAGAAGATTAATTCCCGTCTACTTCGCAGAATTCAAACAAGAATTTTACTAAGAGTTGTGCGTGGCTACAGAACAATTAGCTATGAAGCCTGTTTCGCAATTTCAGGATTTCCTCCGATTGACCTTCATGTTTTGAATGACAAAAAGTTTAAAGATACCATCAGCAAATTTATGTTCGATACCAAGGTGTTGTTTGAAGATCTTCCTCATCCTGTCGATCGTTTGCCAATTCAAACTATCATTTATGACATTTCTGCTGATGATAATTTCCCTGTTGTGTGTTATACAGATGGCAGTAAAATTAATAATCGAGTTGGATCAGCTTATGTCGTTTTCCATAATGGTTCTGAACTGGAATACAAACTCTTTAGAATTCCCAATGCAGTGTTTTCCAAGCCGAATTACTGTGCATTAGCGAGTCAATTAAGTGGATATCTAACAACTGTTCGCTAAGTGCTAAATTTCTTATTCGCACTGATTCTCTTTCATCCTTATTTCTCTTAGGAATATCTTCTCATATAATAAATTAATTGTGACTTCCCATGCTCTTCTTAAAGACCTTAATAATAAAGGTGTTGGTGTTACCTTTTCTCATGTACGTGGCCACACTGGCAATCTAGGAAATGAAAGGGCTGATTAGTTGGCAAAACAAGCTACACATGTTCAAGTGATTACTCCAATGATACTTCCTAAGTCATTTTACAATAACAAAAGTAGGGATGATACAATACTCGAGTGGAATGAACTATACAGGAATTCTACTACTGCCTCTTTGACTAAACTATATTTTCCTTCCATTCCTCACAGACTGAATAATAAACACTTTTTCTGCAATTTTGAAGTTACTCAATTTCTAACTGGACATGGTAAATTCAATCCATATCTGAAGAGATTTAGATTATCTAGTACAGACTTGTGTTCATGCATTCGGGGGAGTGCAAAATGTCGAACATTTGTTGTTCTATTGTTCAAAGCTCAAGAAAGGACTAAAGGAACTCATTTCTAGGTTAAACTCTGTGAATATTACATTTCCTCCCCCTCTTTATGTATTTGTCCAACATAAAATGGCTTTCTCTTTCTTCTGTAAATTTATCTCTTACGTATCATCTGTGAATTTGTAAGTTTATTTTATTTTGTGTTGTTGTATTTGTTTGTTTTTTGTTTACCTACCTCTGTAAGCCTTGTGTAATACTATGTGGTGCACGAGGATTTAAAATTTTTAATAAAAAAAAAAACTAAATTTCACGTTAAATTACTAAGTCAGGTTGCAGTACAAAATCTTGTTTAAAAAAATGGCCTAGAACTTTGTTAAAAAGAACTGGTACATGATCAAACGTCTGTGTCCAAATGCCAGGAGTTTATGGAGTCCCTCTTTCGTAATAAATATCAACTGAGTGAGAACTCTGAAGATTTAATCGACTTCTCAATTGTATTGAAAATTACATCGAGACTTGGAAAAGGTTGTAAAAGACCCTTTTATAAATTCAGATAAATTAACAGAATTCACAGCTTGTGCTTACAGAATCAGCCAGCATTTAAGACTTAAAAGTAACGAATTTAACTTAATTGAGTTGTTGTTAGCCCAAAGGTTACAGAGACAGAAAACGTACAAGTTAACACAGACTAAATATCTGCGGAACAGATCTAATTAGTATTCTGTTAAGGTAATCCAAAGCGAGGAAGACAACAAAGATGACGAACATAAAATAACTGGTTAATGAAAATAAATTAATACTCTACAAAATCAACCTTGCCAACGCCTCTTGTAGTGAGACTACAACTACATGTGCCACAGTGCAGATGTTGGTATGTCCAATTTACATACGCACTAATAAAAGCAGTTTTCAGTCCAAAGGGGCTTTGTTTGTCCCTGAGGGACTATTTTTATCGTTTTTCGATTTTGCGTTGAATTACTATAAATGTCCGTTTCACTTTCCAAAATGTTGCCACCAAATCTTAGAGTCCTGCATTACATTTGAAGAAATTAAATAATAAAAAATCTGCGTAAATGTATGTATATTTCTCACATTGCGATAAAACAAAGGTACGTAGAGCCATCGAATTTTGAATGACGTAATCCTCCTACGAACATGGGCATGTGGAAGACCAAGTTTGAAATTTGGAATTTGTTTTATAATCGATTTCATATTTTGTAAAACTTTAACGAATTTTTAATTAACAAACTCAGAGATATCAAAGCGAGCAATGGCAACACTTTACGGGGGGGGGGACTTTTTATCTCCAGCGCGCGGAACTGTGTATCGGAAATTCTAAAGATAGGCTGATTTTAAAATTATTTTGGGACATTGCTATTGAACTGAATTTTATAGTTTAAGTGCAAAGAGCATGATATTTAATAAATAAAGGTAACATAGAAAACGTTAAAAAATGCCCTTTAGACGTAATTTAAAATATGAAACCTTTCGTTTATTTTTTTTTCTACATTTTGATCTTTATATACTTGTATTTGTTACACGTTGTGTTCATATCGTTTACATTTCATTGCACTTCAAATTTTCTCATATGCGCCTACGGCAGCTGTTATTTTAAATTGGTTTTATCTCTTCCTCCTTTTAAGGATCACCAAGAATTTGTTGAAAATAAATATATGGAAATTTTTTAAACCATTTCTTCTTCTTCCAAAAAAATCGTTTATAAACGCAACGTAGAAGACAGAAGCAAATGAAACGGAAGCCGTACCTTATCGGTCTTCCGCTGACATAAGCGGAAGTTAAATATATTTTGTACAGTACATCTGCATGACAATGCACTCAAGTCTTGTAGATGAAAAATAAAACACAAGGCGTTATATTATATGAGTACGGAATGATTATCATCCAGATAATTGCATTTCGCCAAATGTTTATCACATGACCCTACGTGTAATTGATATCTTAATACAGTATTAACGTTAGCTGATTTCTAACTTTATAATATACGTATACAGTCACAAAAGGTAAGTTCTGTCTGTTCATTTTTTATAGAATTAAATTGCTTCAAAAGAAAGAAAAACGCCTTTTATTTTATTTGTTTGCTTAAATTGCTTTTGTTTATTTAAAAATAGCTTTTATTTTCTCATTTGAAAAATAAAACGCCGGTTTTTTATGTTGAGAAATATTAAAATTAATATGTAAAATACCATTTAAAAATATTTATTTTGACTAAACATTTCTCAAAGTAAATCTGTGGAAAAAAGGAAGGCGAATCCACTTAGTACAGTTTATTTCTCTTTAAAATTATCAAAAAGTGAAAAATGTAACATTTGTGATATTCGCTAGGATCAAGAAATGACTACGCTTTCTACCAAAAAATCGTTTATAATATTTCATAATAAAATTTATGACTTATAATAACACTTCTACTGGAATATTACCTGTAAAAAAATTTCAGAGTTTCTCAGTGTAAAATCGTTACGACTTATATTTTAACTGCTTTGCAAAACAAAATTAAGCAATTAAATTCGAACGAGTTTTATATTACTTTCCTAAATTTCATTAAACTCATAAATTATAAAACCAAAACATAATGATACCAATTTATGGAGCTACTAAAATGTTTATGAAAGAGAAAAACTATTTTAGTACTTATTTAAGCAATAAATATGTGCTGTAGTGCTTAATAAAGACGTCACTTTTAGCAGAAATATGTTAGAGTATAGTTACATTAGTCTCCAAAGAAGTCTGTTTAAATTGTGTTAAACTGCAAAGCAGACTCAAGAATAATAAAAGCGTGGGCGTCTGAATAATGAAATCTAATAACCGAATTTCATCGCTAAAAATATCTCTATAAATATAGCAAGCGCGCTTAAAGCTTTTGTTAATTGTGATATAAAGTTGTAGAGGAATTTTGTAAAGAAAACTATTTAATCTTCTGTTTCCATTAATTTTATGTGACAATTATTTTATGAATTTTAAATAAAAAGCTTATTTTATGAATGTTTTAACTCACAGTATCGACTTCCACAACTCTGATGATGATCAGAAAGACGAAGCTTTACAAAATCGTCACATCACATACCTTATTTAAGGGTGTCAGATGCTGAAAACAGATGTAAACAACAGCTCTAAAAACGGATATAAACCAATGAGGCTCCTCCTGTTGGCAATTAAGGCCTGTTAATTGCTTAATGGCTCCTTTTCACTTAAAATACTTAAAAGTCCTCCCATATTGCATTCGTGGTCTCAAAGAGTGACATTAATTGCTCCTTGCTTCAGAGCCTCCCTGATAAACTTCCATTGAACGCCAAACTGCTTAATAAAGTTAAAACATGTTTGCCTCTGGTACAATTCTTAAATTAAAATGAAAGTGGTTGATATGAGCTTTCGCAATCATGTGCCAAGCTTCGGAGGTAATTGTCACTTAAGCCCTCAGTCAATCTTTAGAGGAATTCGGGTAATTAAATTAAGCCGGTTGGCAACAAACTCTTCCGTTATTAAGATGTCGGAAGATTTTCAATGAACGTTTAAATTAAATAATGTATCTTTAGAACAGACAATAATGGGAAATTTGTGGAAATTGGTCTGTAAAGAAGCTTCTTCAATTTTCCTGCATTTTTATGGAATCCATGAAATAATATATACATCTTACGAGCACACAAAAATTATTGTATATCATTATTAATAGTTTTCCTTCTCTTCTATGAAGTTCATAAAATGTATAATTTCTAACAACTTGTTTAAAATTACTTAAATTTCCCCAGATTTACTGGTGACCTCAAAAAATTAAATTAAGCTGCCTATTTAAAAGCCTTTGGGCAATTCTCCTTCAATAATAGTTAAATTCATCGTTAAAATCATCAATAACCAATTCCGTATGTAAATAAGACAATATATAATAACTACTAGAATTACTTTTCTTTCATTGAACAATAATGAAAACTACCAATGTTAAACCAAATTACAGTGCTGTGATTAAATAAAGTTTCTTACTAAATAAGTTAACGTAATTAGTAGAATTTACTAAATCAAGGTAAATAAAATTATGTCTAGGAATTTAAACACAAAAGTCATTCAAAAATACCCATTTCATAAACGCATGGTGGAATTAGATAATTATTCTAAAAATCTATATTTTATAATATTTGTTGTCAAATCGATATTATTTTTACCATTGTTGCCAAATCAATTTCTGTTATTTGTATTTACAGTACAAATTCGAATTATTTATCAGTTTAGTATTTGTTTAAAGAAATTTGGGCTGGCAAGAGTATATTTTAGACTTAAGTTTGGCAACAATAAAAAACAATTTTTAAATTCTTTTAATGACTACATAAAAGTACATAAATGAAGGTATTCAAAACCGTTCTGTTAATATGGCAAATTCTGTCACTCTTGCCATATTAACAGAACGTTTTTTGCTAATATAGCAAAGATATTGTAAATAATAAATTAATTAATTTCATACTACTATCTTTTATTATTGTTAAGAAGCTTAATATCGTCAGCAACGTGTTTGCTAATATAGCGTGGTTACTATCCACGAATCATTATCAGCTAAGAACTCCATGAATAGCAACTTAAGCCAGTGGCAACGTTTCTAGACGCATAATTTAGGCATTGAATTTTGAAATAATTTTAACCTGTTTATAAACATTAAAAGGAGAAAATCGATTGTTCAGCGTAACTTATATCTTCTATGTGAAGTTATTTCAGTTTCAAATAAAATCAATATAAGTGACGTGAAGTCAAACATTATACCACAACAAAAGGGCTACTAGTTTATAAAAAGGCCTGACAATCAGATCCCAAAGAGAACACAGACTCTTCAACAAAAACAAGAATTCAAATTTTTGCTAGATAATAGTATAATTAGACAACCCAATTCGCAATGGGTTAGTTCGCTTCCTACTGTAAAACGAAAATGGCACAATTCGCTCATGTTGGTGACTACAAAATATTGGATAATCAAACAGTTCCTGATTGTTAACTTATTCCAATAGGCAATTTTCACACATCTTACAAAACACAAAAATTTTTTTCAAAGCTTGGTTTGTACAAAAATATTGCCAGATACCTACAACACAGAAAAAAAACCCCAAAAACTGCAATAACAATGCCTTTGGTGTTCAATCTTATAAATTTGGTTTAGGTAACGCCCCATCTATATTTCAAAGACTTATAAATGAAAATTTTAGACGACTGAATTTTGGGCTCTTTCCTGTTAAAGCGGCCACCTCGATCCGTCGTCAGAAAATTAGTTGTCAAAATTAGCAACTAATCTTACAGATAATTTTGGCTACGAAGTTGTCCATCTCATACCGATTCAATATTTTTCTTCATCTAAAATGTTTACCATTACTAATTAATTTATAATGAATTAGAAAAGAAGCATTCATTTGTTTCCGATAATCACAATGCATAATGTATTTGATTTTCACGCTCTGTTTAGACCGCGTGACCTTCTTTACTTCTTTTTGCCTCTTAAAATGTTAAATATTTTTAACTCTTCGTCAAGTGGGAAATAAGCAGTAGTCTTTTCCCCCCGTGATATCGTTTATTCTTTCGTATTCTTAAATAATGTTTCCATTTAAAATATCGAGCATATTTACCTTACCATCAACTGGAAAAGAAGCATTGGTTTTTATTCTTCAAGAGCACAGAATTTTGCATACTGAGCGAAAGGGGAAAAATGGTCATCAGTTTATCGGAAGATAAAGTAAACAAAGATGGTAGGCGGAAAACTGCACGGAGAAAGCCTTCATGCCAATAATTTGTTTCGTGGTTCCAAGATTCCTCTTTTTACTGTTTTTCACTTCATATATTTTTGGGCCGAAGAATAGACTTCCATTAGATGGTGCAACAAACTGATAAATATGGGTGAAAATCATAATATAACGATATTTAATTCTGTAATAGCAGCAGTTGCTGAATTGTGGCCTTCAGAAAGACAAATAAATGTTACTTTGCTTTCATACATTCCTTCGGCTTTTCATTTTCTGAAAGTTGCTACATTCTTTTTCTGGTTTTCTCTAAAATAATTTCAAATATCACCAGATTTCGCTAAAGAGCTCGTGGCTGCCACTTAAACGTGAGGTACCAAATTTTATTTTCCCTTAACCACAGGAAATGTTAATAGCTTCTTCGTCAGAAGATGAACATAGATCGCACTTAAAAATGTTTTTAAGAAATTACAGTACTATAGTGTTTGTATAAACATATTCAAATTAGATCCTTATGTACAAAATTTAGAATTCTCAGGATAATTAATTTCAATGCATGGTACCCTTCCACAGAAAGTGCAAACTTTATGAACTCTTAAAAACTGTTCATGACGTCTTCACGGTCTTCGTTTTAATAAATTTTTATCACGGCATTAAAATTGTCCCTCATACATCAAGACTATTTAAAAGATGCTATAAAAAGATAACAGTAAAAAGAACTAAGCTAAAAAGTGTAAATAAAACTTAGCAAGTACTACTATTTTTAATAACAAATCCGCAACTACATGGATGTATGAAAAATTATTATGACATTGGATCTGTTTAACAGCAATCAGAAAATGGCATGTGGATGATTTGGTTTGGTTTATTTAATTACGGCAAAGAACACGGGGTTATCTGCCTCAGGGAAAGAATGCCTTCGTGGAGGACTTTCTAAGGGAGGCTGGCTCGTATACATTGAGAACACTATGGAAACGCTCATGCAGCCAGCCCGTTCGCCGGGACTAGAGCCTCGGACTGAACTACCAATGTTCAGCGACTTTACCGCTCAGCTACTGGTGGTCCCAGTGACATGTGGAAGCCTATCACTTTTTCTTTTTTTCAAAAAACTAAATGATGCATAGAAAGTGTACAGTACTTATTACATAGGACTGTTATATGTAATATATCTGTCTATGTAATATATCGTTGTATGTAATATATCGTTGTATGTAATATATCGTTCTATCCTGTATGTAATGTATCACTTTAAACACTTCTTAAAAGGTCAAGATTTTACAATATATACAGATTCATAA